CTGGGTCTAATGGTTCAGTGCAGAGGAGCTGGGGGATCCTGTTCACCTCAGGGCTGGAGAAACAACACATTTCTGGAAGGGCAGGGGTTGGGTTATGAGCAATAAGCCCAATTTTCCAAAGCTGATGGGTATTTGGTGGGCCCAGGCTGGGTTTAAACACCAAATCACATCAGCACTTCTGGAATCCCCCCACTGGAGCTCTCCTGAGCCTGTCCCACAGCTCAGGCATTCAGGGGAAGGATTGTTTCCCACTGTATTTAGACAATCAGAGACACAGACAGTCACTAATGGAATTTTCTCAAGTTTTTAAGCACATTAATTTGCTTTGAATCACTGAGCACCAAACCCTGGAACGGAGTGAAAGCCCTGTCCATGCCCACATGAGTTTTTTTCACTAGAGGTGAACGATATTTTACCTCATTTTAGTAAACTGTGGCTCCCTCCAAGATAAGCTTAAACCTTCCCTTTGCACCTTCAGAGGCTTGTGCCCAGCCTTGCTCTGCTTCAAGCACTTCACTGCTGACAGGAGTTGGGGAATTGGAGTGGAAAACACAGCTCCTCGTAAAGAGCTCATTGTTATTCTGTTATTTTTTTTCGATATTGCTCTCAATTTACCAAGGGCCCTAATTTCCCTATCAGTGATGGTGCTTTGAGCACATCCAGTTTGACTCCTCACTTACACCTGCCAGAGATCAGCATTAAACAGCTCAAAAAAACCACAAAAAACAACCCTCTTGTGATTCCCAAAAGCCAAACAAAAGCAGCCCAGGCAGGGGAAACCACGTGAGAACAAGAGCTACAGGGATGGGAGCAAATGGCAAAGAGCAACGAGGCCAAAATCCAGGGAACAGGATTTCCACCCACCTTCTGACTGAGCTGCACGTGGACCTGACCCTCCTGCTTCTTTATGATGTTTCCAGGGTGGAGAATTTGATCCTGAGCTCCCCATTTAATCACAGTTCCTTCCCACAACCCACTTACAGCAGCAATTCAGCTCGTAGGGAACATTAATGCTGTTGAGCTCTGAGGACTGGTGCAGTGGTTGATTCCATCAGCCCTGAGCTGTTCCCTGCCAGGTGCTCCAGCTCCAGCCCCACCTGACGGGGCCAGGAGTGGGGAAAAAGTGCTCTGGGGAGTGCTGTACCTGGCAAAACCTAACCATGGAGAGGGAGTGAACAGAAATACTCTAATAATCACTTAAGTTAATACATATTTCTTTTTGGAGCATCCTCAGAACAAAATGTTTCTCACCAGTCTGTAATAATTTAAAGAACTGAAGAAGATCATTGCTTAGGAAAAGTCAGATGAGAGTTGGGGTTACTTCACACTGAGATGTTCCATTTTCAATCCTACTCCCTTTTGCTTCCCATTAGTCACCAGTCCTCAAGTCCATGTGGAATATTCCAGCCTTGCTGGAAAAAAAAAAAAACACACCAAAGAATCAACAACCTAATTCTAGAGTCAATCCATGGTCATATTTTCTCTCAGCAACATTCCTGGAACAGAACAGCCCCATCTGTGGAAGATGCAGTCGGTGCAAATAAACACAAGCTGTGATCCTGCAGCACTTCGGGTCCTGCCTCCTCACAGCAGTGCAGGGAGGGAGAACTGCAGCAAATCTGCACATGCAAGTAAGAATTTCAAAATGGCCCTGGTTCAGAGAAATGTCCTATTCAAGAGAGCACACGAGCATCCTTAATTTCAGTCTCGTGTGTTTGCTACACAAGCAAAGCACCAGATTACAACCTCTGTTCAAAAACCAGCCTCTTTTAGGGTTTGTCTCCCTTTGCAGATTCCAAGTGTTGGGCAAAGTCAGACTGACTGCACAGTTATTCTTACTTTTCTCCATCAGGAAGATTGTTTGATCCTTCCTGGCTCCCGCCCAGCAAACCTGGCAGATGTTGTAATTTGCACCTGGCTGGCTGGTGCTCGAAAAGCCCCCTTATTTTCAGATAAACAAAAGGAGAGATGTCTTCAGGTGCCTTTGATGAATTCCAGGAACTTTTCCCACCCATTAACTCCTCCAGCTGGTGGCTGCCAGGGAGCAGAAATGCATTGGAGAAGCTGCTGACAGTCCCAAGGTGGGAGCAGGGGACACAGGAGCAGCACACACACAGCTGGGTGACCTTGGGCTGGAGCCCCGATGGGCACAACCAGCCCCTGGCGCTGCTCCCTCCCTCCCTGGGCGTTCAAACTCGGCCACACTTCCCCAGCTGTTCTCACATTTCTTCTCCTCCCGCAGGAATGAACTGGCAGAGGTTCTCCTGCCTCCACTGAGAGCCATCAAATGCCAACAGGTGCCCCCCTGAAGCGGGAGATGGGAGTTCAGGAGTGGCTCACGTGGGCAAAGCCCAGGGAGAGGCTGCCTTGGACCCACAGGAAAACCTCCAAGACCCTTCTTCAAACCTGCCCAGTTTTCTCATGATCTCCAGTGTTGGCTCATCCCCCAGGGCTCTCACTCCTCTTTGGCTGCTTCCAGGCAGTCGTGTTGTTCCTGGGGATGTGACTTTGCCCTTCCTGGGATTCACAACCAGGTTGATTTTTTTTTTGGTTTCAACATGCAGAGCTGGTGACTTTTCCGGAGGTGGGAGTGTTGCTCCTGTGGCATTTACTCAGACAGTAAAGAGATTAACAAGAGAGAACAGAAATTATCTCAGCTTTTCATCACCAAAAGATCCTTTCCTCCCCACCCCCCCCTTCCCTAATTTCCTTAATAATAAATACATCTCAAAATAAACTCGCGGGGGTGGCAAGAATAGAAGAAACGTGAGTGGTTCAGCTGTTCAAGTTCGGGAGGAAAATGGATTTGATTTGTCTTGAAACTTCTGGAAAAGACAAGGACGTGCATTTTCTTGTTTTGTTCAGCCTGGGCTTGTTTTGTTTGGGTTTTTTTTCTGAAGCAGAGAAGTGCCAGAATAGCAGGGGGTATAATCAGAGCCTCCATCCCTTCCACGTCTCTCTCATTTCTTGCACTAACCAGCCCTGTCAGATGAGAACGTTCCTTCACCTGCAGTACCAGGGTGAGAGGGAAGTTGAGCAATGAGAAATTTAAGTGGCAACAAGAGAAAAGTGGAGCTGGGAAGTGCAAAGGAGTCTGGCAGGGAGGAGGGGGGAAAAAAGGCAAGGCAAGAACGCAGCGATCATGACCTGTTTTCATTCAGTGCTTCCCAATTAAAGGGATTTTTCTCAGAAGAAAAGCCCTCTCTCTGGAACACATTCATTGTTCTCAGCATTCTGTGAAGGCAAATCGAAAGCTCACGGGGTAAAATTTTACTTCATGGTAAAATTACAACCAATTTTCCCCACACAACAGTAACAACACAGTCCCTCACAGTTTTCAAATCAATTTTCCCTTCCCTTCCACTGAGATAAGCAGCAAAGGTTTCACGATTTGTGATGTTTTGGTTTGTTGGTTTTTTTTTTTTTCCCCCACAAAGATTCCTACTTAACCCTGACCAGCTCCTCTCTGAATGATCACACAATCCCTGTTTCTCCTCCACGGAAATACCCACTAATTGTCGGATTCACCAGGTGTCTCTGCAGGTGTCAGCAAAGCCAGAACTCCCCTGTTTTCACCAGCCACAGTTGATGGGTTCCAGCCACAGGGAGGAGCTGGAAAAAGCAGATCCTGGCTTGTGCCAAATCCCAGCTGGAAAACTCCGACAGGAGGAGGAAAAGCTGCAAAAAGCCCCTGCCATGAAAGTGTTCCTCGAGGCGCAGTTTTCACCGCCTGGATTTCGGGGGAGTGTCGATCTCACCTCCCCTCGTGCTCCAACAGCCTTTTCATTGCACAGCCCCGGGGACTTCCCAGCTGGAAAAACCCATGGATGGGAGGGAAGGGAACTCCAGGTGAGCACAGCAGTTCCTCGCTGCCTTCCCTGCCTGGTGCCAGCCCTGGCACAGACACGGCTGCACTTCAGGGGTGCAGAGATCACACTGTTTATAAACCTGCCCTCACAGGGGAAAATATTAGAGGGGGGGAAAAAAATAAAGCTTGATTTATACACCTTGAAGCAGGAATAAATTAGTGTTTTCCCCGTGTCAGGTGCTATTAAAAATTGAAATAAACCACTGAAGCCACTGGAGGATTCTCCACCTCTTGATGCTTTTAGTCTGGATCAGATACTGCCCTGGGAGACAGTAACTCAATCACAAGCCACTGGGACTCAGGAGAAGCATTAAATATGGGAAAACTGTAATGTTATGCCAAAGAAAGCAGATGATACAAACACCCCCTGACACCTTCCAGACCCAAAAGCATGAGCTGACCTCAAGGCCAGTGACTAGACTTGGGCTCTTCCCACAGAGGTGTTAAGGAGGAGCAGAAGGAAGAGATTTTCCTCACTCTTTCCCCCAGGGTTGTTTTTTTCCCATCTAGAAAATCCAAATGCCTTCTGCCAAACGTGGGCAGCTGTTTGCTGCCAAACCTGCCACAGCAAACAGGAGTGAGGCCACAAAGTCGATTTATTTCAGGCCACAGAACTTGAAAGATACTTAAACAATGGCGGGAAAATGAAAATACAGTTGAATTTGCAGTGCCAGGGACAGTTTTTATGGCGGTTCTTCCATAAAGAACAAGGAAAAAAAATCTACACAATCCCAGAACTACAAGCAGGCAAAGAGTGCTGGCAAATTGTCCTTTATAAGGGATGAGAGATTTCAGAGCAATCTGAGAGTGCTGCCAAAAGAGCCCTGGCTGGAGCTGTGTCATCAAATCCATCCAAACAAATACCCTTTTAAGTATCACTCAGGTCCCAAGTTGCAGACTTCATAACTCAGTTTATTTTTAGCAACTTATTTGCAGAGGTACAAATAAACCCCCCCCACCCTAGTGTTTGGAGAGCTGAGGAGGGAATTTATCTCCCAGGCTGCCGGGATCGGCCTCTACCTGAACTCAGGAAGCAAATATTTACTGGGAATGATCTCTGGGAGAGGCAGGAGCTCTGGCACGGGATTCTGGAGGGAATCCACGGGGTAAATGTTTCCCCAAAGGCTGGGAGGGAGGGGCAGGACCAGCTCTGCCTCTGATGGGAGCCCCAACTGCTGAACTTCTGGAAGTCTTTATTGACACCACTCAGCGTGTGGAGCCTGACCCACCTCAAAGCATGCCAGGAAACACTCATTATTCACTCAAGAGAGGTGAGCACAGCTGGCTACAGCAGCTTCGGGCTTTGGGGGGGTGTTTTGTTGTTGTGTTTTTGTTTTTTTTTTTTCCCAACCTTTAAAATGCTTTGAGCTCTGCCATGTGGGTGTTTTAATGCAAAGCTTTCAGTCTGTCACTCTTTATCTCCGTGTCACTCATGTGCATTTATGTCACCTACCCCAAGCAATCTGTGTGTAAATTGTTCATACTTAGGGGCTCCACCTCTTAATTAACCTGTACATATATTTAGTGTACGGTACTTCTGTGTCATATTTCCCTTTTTTTTTTTTACTTTCACGTGGAGCTTTCAGCTGTCTGCAGCACGTGGCACTCAAAACTTCAGCAATATTCCGAGTGTCAGAGCTGTCAGGATGATTAACAGTAGGCATTTGAAAAGAAAACAGGAGGTAGTTAAGACCTGCTCTTGGAATATGATTTATGGAGGTGTTTTATGGCAGAACCACGACTTTGAGACAAAACCAGCACACATTCAGAAAGCTGAAACCAGGGGGTGTTGGGCCGAGCATATTGATTTTTTTTGCTACGAGATTCTGCCCTTTTATTTCGCAAAGTTAGTTAAAGTGAATGAGAAATGATAAAGAATATTGTCCTTTTAAAGACAAGGAGCATTTAGGGGAGAACTCAGTCCCAGCTCTTCCAAGGATTTCTGCTGAAGCCCAGCAGATGATTTATGGCTCTGAGTGATGAGCTGCATGCAGGCAGGTGAGGGTGGTTCTGTTGAAACCCCTTAGCTTAAGGAACATTATTGCACAAGAATTGATTCCCAGCGGGTTTGTTTCCTCTGTATAAAGTCTCTTTACCAGGGGACTCCAGCAGAAAGGCCCCTGGACAAGGAGAATTGCCACCAATCACCAGAGCATGGCTAAAGACCCCCCTTGAACAAGCCAACACAGCAAGATGGTCCTGCACCTGGCTTGGATTTGAACCATCATCTCCTTTATTACCCCCTTTCCCCCTCTGCTTCCACTGGCCCAAGGCCCTGGGGGGCGTGGGGTGTCCCTGACACCCTGAGTGGAGCTGCAAGCCCAGGAAAGCAGCAAATCAAGAGCTCTGTGGTGCCTGCAGATGCTGCTCCCAGCTGAGACACGGTGGGCAAAGGGCCTCGAGCGCCGAGCAGAGCCAAACACACCATCTGGGAGATTTTCCCAGCCTGTGCTTTGTTCAGTGTGAAGATAAAAAAGAAGGATGAATGGAAGGAAGAACCCTCCGTGCTTAAAACCCCAGGAGGGGGCAGAAGGAAATGGCCTGGTGCAATTGTCCAAAGCAGCTGTGAAAACATTTACCCTGACTCACATCTGCCTTCTCTCTCTGCCCTGCTCTTCAGCCTTTGTCCCAGAGCATTACCTTGCAGGGGGGCTGTGGTTTATTTGTGTTCCCAATTCAACTGAGCTGAAATTGCTGCAAAAGGAAAGGTTTGAGAGCAGGTTCCTGAGCGGTGGAAGGGTCTGTCGGTCACATTTGGTGAGCAAACACTTTGCAGACCAGGAGGTGGAAAATGACTGCATTTGGGTATGAAGCAACCTGCTCGAGTCAGAGAGGCTGAAAGGGGAACAGGGGTTTTTGCTTCTGCTGAGAGGGACCCAAAGCACATCACGTTCCAGGTCACAGAGGGAGTCACTCAGACCTCCCCCATCGTGGCACTCTGCTCCAGCCCCACCTGCTCTGATCCAAGTTCTCTGCCCCTCTGCCTTTGCTGTGTTTCCCCATCCTTTATCCCCTCTTGCTGAAGGCAGAATTCACACTGGATGGCCTGTTCTGGTCCCTCTCCAGCTTTCCATCCTCCTGCCCCCTCCCCAGCATCCTTCCTCCCTGTCATGTCCACATCAGGAGTGCAATTGGAAAGGGGATCTCAGAGGAGCTGCCTGTCAGACCTGTCTGCCTGGAGATCAGCTCTGCTGCTTAAAGTGGGAAGGAATGATTCCTGGGAGGAAATATTGCTATATTGCTGTTAAGCAGAGCAACTCTATCCAGCTGGTGAATATGACAGAGATCTATCAAAATAAATAAGAAATAAATATTAAGCCATCAAGCCTTACAAGACCACTTGGGTAGCAGGGGAGAATAAGGCTCAGAATATAAAGGAGATTTATTTTTTTAACAGATAGAGGCATCCACGTGCAAAACAGCCCAGAGAAGTTTTCATGGACTGGGGCTGAAACACCAACGTGTTCCTGAGGCACCTCCAGGTACAGGGCAGGTGGAAATTAATATGCATTTTAACTACAACACAAACACAGTTCCAGTGCTGGGTCATTAAGTGGCAGGGATGGATATCCCAGTATTGCATCCAGAAGTCCTCAGCTGCTCCTGCTGCCCTTTGCAGTCTGGGTGAGGGACAATCTCCTGCCCTGCTCACACCTGGCAGCCCCCCCCAGATCTCTGCAGTTCCTGCACCTTTTAGCTGCCATCAGAGAGACTGGCCTTCCTGTGGGCCTGTTTTCATCTGCACCCTTTGGACAGAGCCCTCCTGGAAGCTCCAGGGAATCAGAGAAATCCATTAGCCAGTCCAGCCTTTTACCCGGGGAGCTTGGGGGTGAACTCACAAATGAACACCAGCAATTTCCCAGCCAGCTTCTCACAGCACTGTTCAAAGAGTAATTGCTGCTGTCTTGACTTCCCTTCTCTGCTGCAAAACATGGTCTACCCTTGGCTTTTGGAACAGAGATCCCTGCAGAGCTGCAGAGATGCTGTGGGAGCTCATCCAGCCAACCAGCCAGACGTCCACGGGAGAAAGATGAGAAAGAAGCCAGTGTTTGATCCTTCAAGTGGATAAAATGGCACTTCCTGCACCAAGAATGTCAGAGAAAAAGCAACAGCCCATAAGACAAAAGCCAGGCTGAAGGATGGGGAGAACAACAAAATCTAATCTGTCTTTGGTCAGTAAACAAACCTAGAGAGAATAGGTTTGCAGTGTGTTGACAATGTTCTGGCAGTTCATTAATCCCAGCAAAATCTCTCCAAAGCTACTGATGCATGGATTCCATTTTCAAATTTCTCATTAGTTCCTCTTTATGGATTAAATGCTGATGTTCACGAGTGAATGCACACAGCTTCAGCTGATGGATGTAATTGGGTTGTAATGGATTTTAGCTGCTGTTCCCTCTGATCCAGCCAATTTGAAAGGCAGTATCAATGTGTTCTCCCCAGCTCTCTGTAGGGAATGAGAAATTGAAACCTACAAGATGGAATTTATCAACTTCCATAAAGTTCTCTCCAACCATCATAAAACTGTTCAACTCCTCATTATCATTCCACCCCAACCCCTGGTCGGGCCATCAAAATATTAAAGTGCATTTGAAATAAGTAGAGTTGATCCTTCAATATTCTCTGTGTCCTCGACATTGATTTAGGTGCTGTAAATATTACCCACCCAGGATGGCATTAACACAGCAAAAGCTTAACAGCAGGAACACAAAGAGGTGTGAAAGGATTTAAAGGCTGAAGAACCCTCCTTCCAATTTTTAGTACATCTGTAGCTCAATAGGCAAATAGATGAGTGATTTGCTGTCACTGGGGAACTCCCACAGGGGATTGTGGAACACCAAGGGCATAGAGGAGGTCACATAAACCTCTGGAAACGCAAGGATTTTGGAAAACCAAAAAAATAAAACCAAAAACCCTCATATCTTGAGGTGGAGGAGAAATGGGGTGTGACTCTCCTGGGATAGCCAAGGCCAGCCAAAGCTGGGAAGGGGATTTAGGGAAAGGACCCTACTGCTGGTTGGGGGCTGAAGAATCTCTTCCTGTGATGTAATTTCTCTAAAAGCTGAGGGTGCAAAATGTTTCTTAAAACAGATCCAGATTTTAGCTTCTAGAACCAATCCCCCCAACTACAGACATCCAGTCTGGACACAGCCCAAACTGTGTCCATGGAGCTCCACAGTCCCACCCCACGGCAGCATTCCTGCAGGAGAGCTCAGGGATGGTTCTCCAAAGGGTTTTTCCTGAGCTGCCCGGAAAAATCTCATTACTGCACAAAGCCCTGAGCCCTGCACACAGAGCCAGGCCCAAACAGCATTTGCATGGCCCTTAAATTTGACACTAACAACCAAACCTGGGAGGGAGATGGAGCGTGACACAACCCCCCAGCCTGCAGCAAAGCTGTTCCCTTTTTACTGCCTCCAACTGCCTCTGCATCAGGCCCATCAGCTGAGCCAGTGCAGCTTCCCACCCTGCCAGCTCCCTCCCCTGTCAGCTGCTGCCACCACCAACCCCATCCTCCTCCTCCCCCTCACATTCCAGGCCAAACTCCACGATGGTCGTAAGTGAAAACTCCATTATTGACGCCAGTGGAGTTGTTCATGCCTGGAACAGGGAGGGATCTGACCTGCTGGCCACAGAATCCCAAACTAATTATAAAAAGCCCGGTAAGACAGACTTTAAATTTCTTACTGTTACTGCTGTTATTATTAGACCACTCATTTCCATGCCATGGGGTGTTTAAAGGCTGGAATACCCACTAAATGATGCAGCATTTCAGAACAGACACCCCTTGCTCTGGCAGCCAGTGCTCAGCTGCCTCACACAGAGGGGCTAAACCTGCTTGCTGGGCTTGGTTTAAACAAACTTCCCACCAGTTAAAATGTTAATGAGGCCATCCCCCTGCTGCATGAGAGCATCACCACCCAGCTGGCACGAGGCAGGGTGGGAAGGCATCAGAATATTGTGATTTGTTGGTTTTTTGTGGGTTTTTTTTCAGGTATCAAACCATTGTGCCCCTTTTTTATTGTGCTCAGCACAGCCAGGAAGCAAGAACTGCTCAAGTGGCCGTGGCCAGGCTCCAGACATTTATTGTCACTAATACTCCCTACCAAAAACTCCTGTACACCTTTAATTAAATTATTGCAGTCCTTTGGTGGATTATGCATAAATCTTCATTTGTTTGCTTTATTAGCATTCGATCTGGTTTTGGTTTTGGTTTTGTTTTTGTTGTTTTAATTGCAGAAATGTTCCCCTCAGGCAGCAAAGCAATATAGTTCAGCTAAAGCAGGGTTTTGGTAATGGCAGTCAATTTGATTAACATCACTGTCAATATGATGGATGGAAATCCTCTCAAATGAGTCGCCCAATACCTTGCAATCATCACTGGAATATTCCTTTCATTAGGACACAAGTGATAAATTCACTTTAGAATCACGTTGGCCCGCCCCAAGTTCCCCTCAGTGTGGGGAAATGCTTTGGCTTCGACACTTTGAAATCCACATCTCAACCCTTTTAATTTCCCAGTCTTGATATTCCTGTCTCAGATTTGCCAAAACACTTCGCCTCTGCTTCCACCAAACTGCTCTCACGACTGGAGAGAGCTCAGAGGCCCAGAATCCTCTGTTCCCCCACTCAATTCAGGAGCATTTACTGGCATTATGAGGAGGAACAAAACAATTACCAGCAGTGCTTTTCCCCTCCACGTGAAGCACGTTCCAAACGAGGTCTTGGGGCACTTTGGCAAACAAGCCTCAAAAAGGAGCAGGAATAACGGGTCAAGTCCAGAACAGAAACCTCCCAGAAGCTTTAGACATTCATTGGGGTGTTCAACCATTGCCTCTTTGAGAGAGCAAACACAAAGAGACTGAGAAAAGAGAAAGTAGGTGTGTGGTGAAAGGTGGCAATTCTTGCACTTTCCCAGAGTAATGTTGTATTACTTTCAATGAGACACTGCATATAATTAACCACCAAGAAAAGAGACCTTCCTCCCTTTTTTCCCCTTCCTCTTTTGTCTTTTTAATTAAATTATCTCCCATTCTCAGTGATACTGCCATTATTCTGCACAATGTGTGTTCATTAGGAATGCACTTACACTTATCATATCTTGATTTATCAGCTCTTCCCCTCATTTCCATGCTCTGGATTAATAGACCCTGGGATGGAACACACTGAGGGAGTTCAGAGGAGCCTGGGAGAGGTTCCACATGGAGCCCATCAGAGAGCCCACACACGTGTGTGTAAATACAACCGTGCAGCAAAGTGGCCTGAAGTGCCAGGCAGCCTTTCTTTGGGTGTCTGGAGCCCATTTTGTGGGGCAAAAAAACCCACAAAAATTACTCTGTGAGTAATTCAGCACTCTGGCTGTCGGCACGAAGCTGCAGCACAGCCACAGCCCAGGCAATGATGGAACCTGCAGTGGCAAACTGAAGTTCCTTTAAAATTCCCCCTAATCTCTCTCTTGGGCTTTGCTGGGGGTGAACCACTGCAGCAGCAACCTGCCCCTGGGCACAGGCATCTGCACATGGGGGGTTTTGGCAGGTCCAGCCTCACCTGGGCTCGGCTCTCCAGGCACAGCCAGGTTTCCAGGGAGAGCAGGCAGAGGATTTCAGCTCCTGGGAGCAGAACTGGGAGAAATCCCTGCCAGGCAGGGAAGAGGGGGTGGGCAGGTGAGGAGCAGCTGGGTGAGCAGTGAGTGTGATGTGGAACTGGCAGGGGCTCTCCAAAGCCTTGTCACAGGCTCCCCACCCCCCACCCTGTGCTGGGCAGCCCTGACAGAGCAGGCAAGAGCATCATCATTAGGCATCTGCAACCTCCAGCCGCTCTGCAGCGACAAGATTTGTTGGAGGGCAGAAATGACAGCCCAGGAACAACAATCTCTTATTGATATGGGCTCCCTGAGCAGTGATGGAAGGCAGGGTGAGTGCCTGTGACAGCCAGGGGCTGCAGGATGTGTTGGAGGCTCCACGGAGCAAGCCAGGCTACAAATGAAGTGGTACAGGAAGAGACACGGACATGGCACAGCAGATAAAGATGTAAGTAGGTCAAGCATCACTTTCTGGGGATGGGAGTGACATTTTGGCCTTATACAAAACAGGAGTCATCTGTTGTTATTTGGTTTAAGCCCATTAAACACGCTGGCTGCCACCAGCAAAGCCATTTGTATTAAAATCATCCCGGTGATTCGAGTGCTCAGCGCTGTGCTTGCTCTACCAGGTTATTAATTATGCACCCAATTTGACAAAGATAATAACACTCACCTGGCTGCAAGGGGGGGAGGGGATGCTGGGGAGATGACACACACACACTGGGGCTGTTTGTCTTAAACAGATGAGCTGGGAGCATCTAAACACACACATGACAGTGAATAGCTCTGAAAACACTGCCCTGCTGGGTTCTCTGCCTCACACTGAGCACAGGGGCTGGGGAGCAAAGAAAAAAGTGCCATTAGCACGTGGAATCAGTGCTTGTGTGTTAAACACCAGGTGAGGGTGACGGTGCCTGTGCAGGGCACTCTGGAAAACACACAGCTTGCTTTCGAAAAGAAGGGCAGTGTTACAACACCTGTGAAAAAAAAACCAGGCAGAACTCAAAACTCAGAATCCAGCCATGTGTAACCATACCAAGGGTTATTACTTCTTCATCTCCACACCAAGAGCCTCTTTGTACAGGTGCTTAATTCATTTGCAGCCCAAAGTATGTATCACTCGAGCTATTGATTTATTTCTAAACAGATGTAACACCTTTCTAGGCAGAGATGCTGCGATGAGTAGGATAAATCAATTGAGGATATTTTTTTTCTGCATGTCATAACACAGTTTTGCATTCCACACAGGCCCAGGGTGGTTTTGCCCAATGGATTATTCTTTTCATTAGTGTCCCATCAAAGCCAGACAAACCAGATGATTGCTCCCCCCCTTCCCCTCCAAGGAAGTCAAATGCTTTAATCCATGGATATATTTTCCAAACAATGTGAGGATTTTTTATAATTTTTATAATTTTTATAATTTTTTATAATTATAATTTTTTTATAATATGGCACCCACACAGCTGAGCCTCCTCACCACCAACGCCACAACCATCAGGTTTTGGAAATCAGATGAATCCAAACCCTCTCCCTTCACAGGATTCCTCCTCCCTTGCCTCATGTGCTTTAGAAACTGTGCTCCTGTTGCTAATGGAAGTAACTGCTGGAAGAGCTGGCACCGTGACAATAAATCTTTTATCACCACAAGTTTAAATAGTGACTGAAATCATTCACGAAGCAGTTTTATTTAAAAGTTGATTATTCAATTGAAGTTGGGTTTCAGTGACCTCATTGGAGTCTGAAAAAGATTTACAGGGGCACAGTCACGGGGGACTTGATGACTTCATAGAGCTGCAGACATCAGTTCCCTGTGACTCACAGAACTTCTCCCAAATCCCTCTGCTCCCTCTCCCTGAGCCAGACCTCAAACCCCATCTCAAACATGCAGGATTGCTGTAGATACCAGCAAAAGATAAACACAGGATACCACTGCTCTTGGAGAGGGGAAAAAAGGATGAATTAATGGATTTAGCCAATGTAAGCAAAATCAAGATCTGGCTCCGTGACACTTGATCAG